CTACTGTTTGCCTCTTGGCATCTATTCAGCTCCCAGTATCTTTCAAAGAAATATTGCCGATCGGTAAAGTTCCAACCTCATAGTGTTGTACCTTCGGAGGTTATTCCCATCTCCGGCAGTTTCACTTAGAACACCTCGGAATTCTCCGTTGTATTAGAAAAACGGGAAAGAAGCGGACTTACATTGAGGAAGCTCGAGTGAGAGTTACTTTCCCAGATTTTCTTAACTTGGATATGTTCTTCACAAGATCAGTTCATATGTTATAGAATACAAGGTAAAAGCAGTAGACAAAGGAATCATGATTAGCCTCGCTTGTTTGCAGGAGTGCTGTCTACCACAATTTCTTTCCTGATCTGTTCACGACTTTGGCTTCACTGCTATCGTGATGTTGATGTCCTCTCCAAATTGATGGCTTTGCTAAAGCGAAACAGATTGTCGCCTTCTCGTCATTGCTAATTTATTATGGTCCTATAAAGATAGTTGTTATCTATTGTGGTGTCCTGATGCGCCGTCGCATAAAAATTGACATTTTGCACCCCATAGAGCCTGTATCACGCGCCATCTAACCAGCGGAAGGGCACTACTTATAGTTGGACAAGAAAGTACCATCTGGAATCGTCGGTGTGAATTTTCCAGTGGCGTCTCTGGGAGGATTTTCTGATCTTCACAGTGAACACAAGCCATTGTTATTGTTAGCTGAAGCCACATGTATTCAACGAATGCCTTAGTCAAGAATGCATAGTGTGCCCTAACCCTGCGCACATGCAACTGCAGTGTCACGATCGATGTCCTGAGTGGTCCATCAGTCGCGGTGAAGTCACAAGAAGCTAATTTTCCATGGGAATCGGTTCACTTGATGTAACATATGGATACAACGCCCCTAAGAGACCCTACAACCTATCAGTTTCCACACCGAAACCCAGTCCGTTCAGCTGTATAAAAATGCTTAACAATAGGATAATCTTCTAAATGGGCCGCTGAGTTACGGCCCTTTTGTAGCAAGTAGAATACAGTTGGGGTTCTGGATCCCTGTTCGATCTCTCTTGGCAAAGCTTACGCACAGATCCCTCATTGACTGCATAACGCTACCCGTATTTTCAGAGTACAAGAACTAGGGGAGAAATAGTGTTGCTGCTGGATGACGATGGACTCAAGGATGGAAAACACGATGAAAAATTGTAATACTTGTCTGACACACCGGTGTGGCAAACACCCCGTCCACTACACCTGTGACGTTGGTGGGATCCACTCCAATTACTATGACCCAATTCGTGAAAGGATAACTCTTCCGCTCATTGTTGCTCACTGCTATTGGGTTGAAGTGTGCCCTGATAACGCAGGCGACATCCAAAACCACCATCACTACATGCGTTGTTCATTCGCCATTTTCTGCATTCCGGAGCTTTGTGCACGGATAATGGTGCATCTTTTGCTAATACTGAGTTCAACAGATTTGTCACTGACAACGGAATCAAATTGGCGCCTTTCCATCCAAGGGTAAACGGCCTACCAATAACAGCTGAGACAGTGAAACTAGGACCGTTGAAACCGTGGGCAAAACCCTATAGACAAAACTTCATCGTTTGCTGTTTGCCTATCGTTCACATCCACCAAAAGTACGTGCAAATTTTATTTACAGCTGATATTTGGCAAGAACCTCAGAACAAAGCCAAGTGTGCTGGTTCCAACTCCATGTCAATATACATGCTGAAATAAGTCAGTCTCCCCCTAGGAGATGAATAGCATGGTCAGCTTTTGGGAACTGGATTTGTCTACGCTTGATTACCATAGGTAGTGTAGTGGCATGCCACGGTAATTATTTCCTCATTAATACCAAACAACTCGCAGTTTCTAGACACCAATGCTGTTCATCTTCATTCAAATCATGTCTCACCAAAGGTCTTGGACATGTCAATAAAGTCACAACCGAATGGTAGGGTAGATCACTGGGGAATAATGATAGTGACAGCCGAGCAAGTCTCTACGGAGGTGATCAGCCAGCATTAGCGAACCGGTCAACCACTTCCACGCGGGACTGTGGCAACAGCCGCGGGAGTGAGGGATGTCATATTCATGGATTGACGCAGTAAACCACCTACTTACATTGTCAGCGCAGGTGGATTTTACGGTATTAGCATTGGTGAATTACATTTTGGCCTGCTCACACATGGCCGGATATCGTATACCATTTCGAGACAGTCCTATTATATGCGACCTGTGAAGAACTGACAAGGTATCTTCCACCTGCTTCTCTACTGCCCAATCAACCAATTAACCAAGGATGAAAGCACGACCGAGGGTAACTTGAATTTTTTACATGCTCGAATGGGGATTAGGATGCCAGCTGAATTGGCAACCTCCCATGATAACTATGATGAGGTTATGGATGGATTAATTAGTAGTATTGTCACAACGCATCTTAGTTATTCCGATTCCTAGACAGAACGACCGAAACGCCCTTCACAAATAACATCCCACGTGCAAAGAAGTCAATCGAAGTCGGATTAGTACTGCCTAAAGAGCCTAACCGCTAGTTATTGTACACGCAAGCTGAAAATAGGGAGGAAAGTCTGATCTCGCATGATTGCACCAAAGCCCGGAAAAGAAAGACTAGCAGATAGCAAGAGTTCATTTAGTTACTCAGCCATGAGGTGAATAATGCCTTCCACACAACCTTATCTACATCTTAGTGGTATAGCAGGTTAATACATAAAGTATGGAGGAAGTGTAACGGCCCGCATATTTCCCAGCATAATTTGTAAACTAATACCAACTTATTCGTACCCAGGCAAATAAGGCGGTTTGTTTGTCGCATGTTAACAACTGTAGTTCACATAGACACACCTCCGGAACGTGAACCGAACGATGCCTCCTGACGCTCGCGGAACCTACTTCCTGTCTTCTCCCCCAGCTAGCTTGCTTTCAGCATAGTAAACTTGTAAGTTTGGGTAGTAAGCATATATCTCGCCCATGTTTATTTGTCTTATTACATTTACCATATGGTTGGCTGGTGGTGCGCACATAGAGCCCGCCCACTGATTGCGCTGTAGAAGGCGGATGTTGTCAAGGCACATGAGTTGCCGCGTAGTGATAGTGTCCCGAGGATACCACAGTTGAGGTCAGTAGGTCCTAATGTGATAGCTGCCGCAATGTCCTGAGGAGTGCTCGGATGGTTCACTGTGACTTGCTGCGATAGATATAGCAGCAGTCTGACGAGGACTCAGTTGTTATCTGCACGGTTTAAGCCGTCAAATGGTAACACTTTGGCCTAGATGAACTCAGGCGAAATCTGCGCAAGTTTCGGGGAGTTATGCAAACTTCGCAACATGAAGATAAAACTCAAATACTTGCCTTTAGCAAAGATTTTAACTGTATCTCACGATTCGCGTTGATCCGCCTCCAAACGGTCACGATAATTAGGTAAGCAGATAAACCAAATCGGCACTCTGGCATCCGGTTCATAATCTCGAGAATGTCCGATACGACAGTTTTTACGCCAATGCTTAAAGCGTGCCTTAGATCGAACGTGGAACACGGTAAACAAACCTTGTAACTCAGGAAGAAACGCCATCACAATGCTCTCGAGACTGTGCAGCACAAGGCTACAAAGAACATTATGGGCTTATACCACTTTTCCTATTTACTTAGAAGGAATACTCGAAGGTTGCACAGAGATGGTTTTGATTTTTACCGGGCAATCTCATAATAGATTATGTGAATTTGGAAATACTCACCCGTGCCTGCCACCACGTTTCTAAACTTAGCTAAAGCTCATTTTTGTGAGGCCATCAGTTTGAACTAGCCACCCAATAAAGTCGTCTAAAGTGTTGACAAAATGTTTGCTCCCTGTGGGTGTCACAGCCTTGGGACTGCCTCCCAGTGTACGTAATTAATGTCCTAAGCTTATCCCAATTCGAAGGATGGCTTGGTGACACATTACTACACTTAAATTACCTGACCTAGCCCTTGGTCATCGAATGACGACAGTAGCTCGGAACCAAGTCTATACACTTCAGGTCCCATTTAATTCCAAGTGACAATAGTTACATCTGTGACACTGTACTCCCCTTGGTGGGCTCAGGAATACTCATCTGATTTATGGACGCTATGTTTCAGCTAGTAATTGTCAATCTACCCATCCAACGGGAGTTGTAAAACTTTACTTTTCTCTGCATTATATACCATCGTTGCTTTGCATGGTCCGAGTCTTTTACACCGCCATGGAAGTATGCGGCTTGTGTGTGGCCGAGATAGCGCCCAGACGATGAAACACGAGAGAGTCTCTAAAGCGATTCCGATGATGGGGACCAACGACCTGTGAATACGTCTCACACCTGTTGGGTATTCACGCTTGAACAGGGGCTGATTGATTAATCATCAAACTATCCGCAAATGTTCCAAAATGGTAGAGGCACAGAGTACGTTGAACGTGTAAGTGCCAGCCTAGATTAATTACGCCGTCACCAATTCTATCTACAAAACTAGATCACTTATGCGACAGACGGGGCACATGCACTGCACCGTCGCTGCAATAAAAATATACGTGCACCTGTGATGTTATTTTGTCATATGCTTGACGGCGTTTGCCAACTGGCATCCAATCTCTGGCGGTGCTTGTTGTGAATGTTGATAAAGTGCTTGCCTATCCAAGACCGTCACCTCGATTACCGACCCCAGGAAACAGTTAACTGTTGCTGGGGAAGGCGGAGCGCACAGTCTTCGGGATGGTGTTAGGTAGACAAAATGATCCCATTAAGTTTGAATAGACTAAAGTCCAGGCACCGCCCTGTGTAGTTTTGGCAGGCATGTTTTTCCTCAGTTTCACATTAGTCTTCCCCATGCTAAGAGAGTGTGGGCTGACTCTGGATCAATGCTGGTGTTCTTCAGATGTCTTCACATTGGTTTCTGATCGCACACATTCCTGTTCCTAGCAAGTCGATGAAAAATCGGTGTTTTTTATTTCTCCAACGTCCTTCAATGTTGTTCTCTTTCCAAACCAGGCCAAGTGCATCTGTCATCATTCACTTTGCGACCTAACCTTTGTGTGGAACGATCAAACCGGGGATCATTGTTGTGGACTAATACTAAGGCAAACGGCTGCAGGGAAGAGTACCTGGGAATTTTACGGTTTCAAATTGAATGGCTATGTAAGTCTATCCCGATTTGGAACAGACCTACGTCGTCCGTTATATGCGATTAACTATTTGGATCTTTCAACTTTTCGAGACGAACTTTTGTGCTATCACACACAATCATGAACTACGTATGCTTCGATAAACGAGTTATCGACCTAGTTCCACGTAACAACTTCATCCACATGTTGTAGGGTATAGGACCATTGTATCGATAATGAAATAAAGAATTAAAGCAACGACATCATTTTGTTTCCCTTGTAAGCGTTATACTAACGTTCAATTCGTCCATTGGGATCTGTCTGTGTTGCTATTTCGCTATGAATTTAGGAGAACATTTTAGCAAATGAAATTCTGGTACTGAGCTGTGCTAATTCCAAGGTTTTACAAATTTGAGGGTCTGTGTCCAGCTGAGGCCGAGCTTTGCACTCAGGAATGATTCAGTTATGATAAAGCCGAGACACATAGAGAATTACTGAGTTGATCAGTGGTTGTGATCAAATAGGAAGACGGTCATCTCGCATTTTATTGGGGTTATTGTAAGAGCAACTTGTGAGTCTCAACCCAGTCGGTCATCATTAACCGTCCGTTTCACTTGGATGACGAAATAAAGTGAACCGCATAGCGCACTCATCAGCTCTCTCCGTAACGTAGCGGTGATGAAACCCACATCAGTGTTCATGCGAATGTCTTGGTGAGTTACTTAAAACACGCATTTTCCATATTTTTTCCTACTTTTCGTTAACCTTTTGTTGTATAATTCTCACTCTGATCATTCCAGGGGACTTGTCAAGCCATCACTTTTTGTGCGTTATAAACCAGTATTCATTGTGCTACGCCTTTCAGCTTGCAAAGGATTCGAGTCGATTGACCGACAGCAGCCTGGAATCAGTGTGTGTGATATCAGTATGCCGCAGAAACCAGAGCAGTAAGAATTGCTCTGAAACTGGCCAACCGAAACGGATTGGTAAACTATCAACAATTGCACACTACTGACAGAATGAGGCTATTTAAACGACTTTGATCTTACTAAACTGAAGTGCAGTGGATACACGGTGCACAAATGTATCGTGCACCACAATGTGAGCTATATAAGCAGGTATACGGATGGTCTTATAAGGAATAACCGATGTTTGTAGTGCGCTAATGATTTATGGATGTGTTAGTGGAACGTTAACGCGGAGGTTCACTTGGGCTGAAATCGCAACTGAAAACACCAAATGAAATGAGAACCATCTTCCTGTACTTACTAAACGAATTCTGATTATCCACATGCTATCGTGCAGCTGCATAAAATACAATTTGCGCGGGCAGAGTCCATCGCACATAAATTTAACCCATGGCTCAGAATTCCACCAAAGCTGCTGTTAAACGTGTCACATGTTCCCACTAGGAGAATGTCGATGGCGCAAGAATTTAGTTTAAGCGATATAAGGCAGATGTATGGTGACGAAATCGAGAGCATACCAAGCGTGAACTAATGGAACAAGTACACAATAACAGCTTTCATTATCAGCATAGTAAACACTACCAGACATGTGGTTGCTCCATCAGACTACAGCTTGTTTTTCCGTCTACCTTTAAGTCAAAGCCGATAGCATCAGCTAATAATTAATTGAGTAGCAAACTACGTATTTTGTTCTCCAGTTAACTCCCCCAATGTGTCATGTTTTCTACCCTCTTTCAGAGAACTGCGTTTATTCACGCGCTCAAATACGTGTTCAGGAATTTGGAGTTATCGAAAGAGCAAATGGTATGGTTACAGAACATTTGAATTGTTTGAAGGCATCTTTACTTTTATCTTAGTACTATTGGTTGTAACTAAGGCGTATTTCTTACGAGTAGAAGGCTTTTGGCGAGTATTTTGTGTTCGTCGCATTCCGCCGACAATTCAGATAAGTCAACTACCTCTCCGGAAAAGCACCTGACGCCGTCTCGCTCAGTTGGGATTCCTCAGTGATGCGCATCCTTCGGTTCTCCGTAGATGACACACAATGTGCTTTGCTACAAATGCATTCCAGGTGTACCCACAATATAGTAATTGTTATGTACCGTAGCTGCGCATGCTAGGCCTTCGATCACAATATGGCTTGGAGTGAACGCGCACGCGATATATAACTACTAAAGAACTCGTAGCTTAGTAATTTGGATGGCAACGCAAAACTATGCACGGCTCACACGTTCATTGACAAAGCAAACGAAGTAAAGTCGCTAATTTGACACAGGGATATGCAGATTCGTCCCAACACGTCGTAGGTCACAAGACCGCAGGATTTCGTGCTTGGGTTGCCAGAGATCTTTCACAAGGTGACACTTTATTTTTCCTTGGAAATTAAAATCTCTCGAACGGTATATTTATACAGTGGCTAGATTCGTATCCGTTTAGCCGATGTACTCGCCATCCTGCCCATTAAATCTGGCACGCCATGAACAGCTGCTGATGCTGGTCCTCCTAGCTAAATTGGCCATATTTCAAATGGGCAGAAATCCTTTGGCCTTTCGCTGGCGGTGTCAATACTTGACATTGCGCATCTAATCAAACCTAGGAGATAAATGAGTGACCTGCATAACAATGGAGGTAGACTTGCTATTTTTGCTGCATGGTTTCTAAGTGGATGATAAGAAAGTTTACGGTTTGGTACAATTATTACAGTAACCATATTTCGCAATACCCATCATGGTTGCACGTGCATGTGGTGCTAGATCTTATGACAACATTGGGGTGTCAGTGGTAGGACGGGGGAGAAACACCCAAAGATCTTCATCGCGGACAGATTGCTTGTGATCGGAATGGCCGAAGTCTATAGCGTTTCGCGCAAAGTTGCATAAAAGGTCCAAAATTTTGCAAAGAAGGAGCAAAATTTTGCAAATTACATCTTCGCTATCAGTCGGAACACGTTGGCAAGCATCTATAAGTTCCTTAGACTGCGTAGTGACCCAATGTCCAGTTTGGCGATTTGATTTGCCACATTAAGACAAACCCGCTGCTCGCAAATTCTGCCGGATTTTCGACCATTGATGTTCAATTGCGTTCCATGAGCGCCTATTCAGCTCGGATGCCAGCGTCTTCAAGTAATGCACGAAAAGTGTGTCTGTACATTTTGAACACGACTATTTTAACAATTGAAATAGTTGCATTCAAGACAGCACTCTAAAATTAAATCCGTGATGGTTGTTATGTAAAACGAAATATTGAATGACAATTTCAATTGCAGGCTTTACTATTACGAGAGCGGCAGCAGTTGTTCGTCCGGCACGGACAACAAAATTAGTTTCTACACCACTGTATCCACGCCAACTACACCTCCATTTGTTTACGCACGCTGTTGGGTCAAACGAGGGATCATCCGAACAATCAAGACAGTATCGAAGTCGTACTGGACAGCTATTCGGGCCTTTCTGGCACGCAAATTAAATTGGGCTTACTGTAGGAATGGTTGCTTTTAAATCTAAACTACAGCTTCCGAACCGGCTGATGTGGGTTCCGAACTTGACAGACCAACTTCCAATCGGGTAACGAATTAACGCGCCAGTGCACGCAAATACAGCGAACAAACATCGCACAGAGACGGTTTCTATTACACACGCCATTCATTCGTTCAGCTTCAATGACGACATTTTGTCTGGCAATGGACGTGATTGCGAACTCGCATCTATCAGTTCCTCTCACTCTCGGAAAAGCCTGACACGACGTGTGCACTAATTTCGTATTCACTATTATTCAACTATCCACGCTGATATCCCATACTGTGATATCTCTGACGGTTGCTTCACCCGGCAAGCTCACTTGGTCTTATAAAGGGCATTCCAAACATCCTAGTTTTCCCTACAAAGAAACTGTATATACATTATCTCAGGCTGATCATGAAAGAGTACGGCGCAGCGAATACCAGCACGAAAAGGACCATAAGTTGAACATATCACTCGCGCATGGCTCACTGGAAGCCGGTCGCGTGTCACTACTTTGCGCTAGACATCAGATATCGCTTCAACCCCCGTACCAACACACAAACTTACGTATGTGCAAACATATTTTGAAAACACTGGGAATACTCACACGTCCCTACGCGCTGCCAGTAACGTGCTATACAACCAGCTACGTAAAAAATAGGCCAGCAACGTTATCAAAACATGTCATTTTTTATAGACGATTAGTAAAATGTACACGCGTAGGTCCAATAGCATTGCGACATCCCACAACGCTGATATCCTTGGTGGCTGCTTCGGCAATGCGTTCAAGAAACTGCAGCCTCCATTCCATCTGCGTCATGAGTTTCTGGGGATCTCATTCTTCACGCTGGCCTTCACCACCTGCCAAACATTCTCGATCGGATTGAGGAACGGTGAGTATGAGCTCAATCTCAGAATGGTTACTCCATCGGATCCATCTACTGACGACAGTTCTTCCAGTCCTGTGTGACATGCTGCATTCTCACATACCACGACAACCTGCCGGATCTTCATCTCCCGTTACAGGTTATCTAAATAGCTTCGCAGTCATTCGAGAGATAGAGAACCTGTGAATGAGCCTCTCCGGGTGGCCATCGACACTTTCCCTTCCATTGTGAGTGCACCGATCAAATGTAAATTTAGCCCTCTACTGTTAGCAACTTTGCAACAGGCCCTCACTCCTCCGGACGCCCGACCACGAGTACGTTTGCAGTAAACATTGCATTTCGCTTCGTCAATCCAAATGAAGAACTTGCCATCGTTCTCAAGTTGGAGAAACTGCTGAACGAATTCCCTGCGTATCCCTTTGTTTCTCACATTGTTCGTTCCCTCGGGAACCTCATAGATGTTCTTCATAGTTATCAATCGACCATCTAGGTGCCGTGCAATTGTTGACTTCGAAATGTCCTTGTCCATTTCTGCTCGTACTCGTACTCGCATTTCCCGTAGCGTAAGAGTTGAGTCCCTTGCGATCCAATCCAGGATGTCAGCTACGTCTTCCTCTGACAAAATCCGCTTACGACCGCGCGCCTCCGTAGTATTCGGCTCCTGATCAAGAGAACGGCGAATCCAGGAGTAGGCTGTTTGATATTTGACGTTGTTCACAGTTGCCACAAGCTGCCAGCCATCACCGTTGACGAAAGCGCCCAAAAATCGGTCACGAATGTCTGATGAGATACTCTGTGGAACGCGAGAAGGCATGCCGACGACGTTAGAATCATAGACATGGTTTCGGTCGTGCGCTTATATTTCGGCTATTCATTGCTCTCAGACCAATTGTGATCCATCGTTCCGGACGTAAGGGGGGCGCATACAAGCCCGTTGCACCGTCAAAGTGCATTCCTCTAAGGTTCATTCACATGTCTCACCCAGTCCACGGGCAGCGCGCTCACCTCCCCAGACTAACGCACCGAACCTTGGCATCCGGCCAATGAGAACACACTTAAGGTCAGAGGATTGGCTCTGAGCGGCTGGCGAATCGCACAGGGTTTTGCAGCATTATGGACTTTCTTTGCAAAGTTTTGGACCTGCTTTGCAAAATTTTGGACTTTTTTTGCAACTTCGCGAGAAATGCTATAGTTCAAAGTTAACCGAGATTGCGCCTCGCAGTCTAACCACAGGGCGAGTACCTCAACTCCAACTCATAACAACGGAAATTGCCTCAACAGAAACCAAGAAATGAAAACCTGCGATTATAGTGTTTGGAATCTATGTAACAGTATCAATGTAATTGTGGAGTAAAGGAGCTGCATTTGGAAGTCAAAAGGTGAGTGGTACAGAATACTCAAGCAACGGATTTGGAGGTCGGTGGTTTGGACGAAACTAGTAAAAGTATGCTGCGCCTCGTGTTTAGCGTAGGTACGACGCCTGCGTATATGCCAGTCTCTTAATAACTCCCAATGAAAGCGCATGACTTGGTAAATGAGCACGATTGGCTCCCGATATGGCGCTTCACCATTCCCTGCATTCTGTTTGGGTGGCGAAATCAGAGAGCAGTTCCAACTGGAGGATTCACAGTATGCAAGCGAAATACATCATTACCCAACCAACCTTACACAAAGTGTAGTACAGTGCTGTTAACTATTTACTTGCATGCGTTCCGCTTAAATGACCTTCGCTGTGGTACCTAATGATCATGTTCAACCCTGGTTACCACGGATGCGATTTGGAAGCTGTTGGGAACCTACAGCTGATATATTCTGGGAGAAAAATAAAAACATGTTAAAGCAAATAAGTCGGGATTTTGGACAGCGTTACAAGGCTGAGAACTCGAAAGCAAAAGTTATTGCGTAGGTATTTGAGATGGCTGATTTGCTCGCTCAGTTTCAGGTGGTTACCTCTGAGGTTGATGTTGTGGCTGGGTTACAGCAATGGGTTACATCAATGGAGGCATATATGATTGAATCACCGAGTATTTGGTAAACTAATGTAAGATAACCGCGTAGCCCCTCAATAGTGTCCGCTGAAAACTCACAGTAACTTTAGGCATTGCGGTTAAGGAAGATTGCGTAAACCATTTGCGTCCCTTATTATCCTGCGTTATAATATCTGTACAATCTATCAGGTACGTTTAAACCAAGGTTGTCAAGCTTGGATAGCTTGTTCTACATGATGGCACACGTAAGAACTATGTATCATCAGGAAGAATGATTGGGTAAAACTCCCGAATGCCCTCCATAACATGCCGACATGCTAGTTGCCTCTTTTGGCAGCTACCCCAGCTTGTTTTGAATAGTTGAGGTCACTGTATACAAGCTCTCTGTAGTCGTGTTCCCAGAAACTGGTCCATAATCTGTGTGTCCC